CGTTAGGAAACAAAACTTCCAGAACACGGCCACACAGCCCGGAAGACCCACACCAGCTAACATAGAGCTTCTTTGTGTGTGTTTAGCAAAAGAGGAAAGTGTTATGGAAGTAATATGCAAAGTTGCTCTACCTATTGTTATGTGTAGAATTTGAAATACAGTTAATCCTGCAAATACAGTCCATCTCTGGCTCTTAGTTTGTAATAACTAACTTACACTCAGGGCCTTTCCCAAAAAAAATTAATAATTATACCTATCAGTAATCAGTATATCAATTTTTAGGGTTTAGCTTTTTTATGAGCATCCTGAGGACTGTGTGGATAATTCTCGTTAGTTAGACTTGGTCTCAGACTGTTTGCTTCCACTCCAAGATCGTTAGAATAGACATATTATCAATGATGCTTAAAAGTAAAGCACAGCTGTCACTCTTATCTGCTTCTACAAATACCTGATACAGATAAGAAGCTAAGTAAAATAGCATCAGTAATGAATAGCTGCACAGTATGTTTGCTTTTTCCTCACATTGTATTTGTAAGGCAAAAAAAAGTCTTAAATTATTCACTCTTAAATGTATTTACTTGGAAGTATATTTCTATTGATTCCAGTAAATTTACTTCAGAGTACATTTTAGGATTTTTGATTGAGGCAATGATTGTATAGTAAGGGAAAATGTGTTGTTGACATTTACATTTCCTCATAAACTTAAGGATCAGAGATTTTTTAGCATGCCTCAGCCATTACAGGAATGCCTAAAAAGTCTCTTATAATTATTTTAAAAATAAGTGACTAGCCACTCATGAGTTCAAATGAAATAAAAGAGCAGCTGAGGTCATACAACTAAAAATGCCCATTTGTATTCATGCCAGCAATACCATATCTGTGTAGCGCACCTGTCTCTGTGTAAAACAAAGACTTACTGAAACTGGTAACACGCTGAAGGAGGCATAGTTTTTCCTGTCCTTAGGCATTAGTGGTCCAAACAAAATATCACCTCAAATTTCAAAGAACAAAATCCTGACTATTGCAGAATTTCAAGAAAAGACAGTGTGAGTTATCTCAGCAAAGTCTTAGAAGTGATGGGACTGATGGCAATGGATTCTTATTTTTTGCCCTCTTGTAATAGATGCTTGATGGAGAAAACTGTCTCTGAGTTCACATAGTAGCTAGAAATTTAGCCTTGGAAGTGTCTGCTTTATTTTTACATACAGTAGTAGGTTTCATAAAGCTGACAGTAGGTTTTCTGACCTTGTCTTGGAAAATACATTCAGTGAGATGTGGTCACCTTCCCTTTGCAATCAGTACTTCTGACTCTAGTTCTAAAACCCAAGGATTCCTAACTTTGCAATTCCTCACATTATTCTGTCAGAATCCAAGTCAGCCGCCATAATGGTTATGTTATGGAATGAGGGGAATGTAAATGGTGAGGGATGAATAAACATCTTTCTATGCTACTTCTCTCAACTGCACAAATTAAAAATGCTTTCTCCTTCAAGGACTAAATTTGGGATTTGTGCTTTAAACAAATCAAGGATATCTTTCATTGGCTAGTTACATTAACAATAATCTTATATCATTTCTATGGGTTCTAAAAGGTTTGGTCTCTCAATATTTTGCCTATTTCCTAAAGTATTTACTTCGCTTATCTAGGTTTAGATTACGATAGCTTATTAAGTGAAGGGCTATATAATATGCAGAGAATTACACTCATTCCCTTGTAAAGCACACATCTATATTAAATGAAATAGAAAATGTTATTTATAACTATACAGATAGCACTCAGAACATAGATTTTTTTTTGCAACTTAAGCCCAAGTACCAAAGATGAAATTATCTCCATGCATAGGGAAACCCACAAATCTGCAGAAATGGAAAATAAGGAGTACAGTAAACCCTTGACTAAACAGTCCAATACAGAGGAAGGAGTGTCTCTGAGACTCAAATGTTCATCAAATGGTAAATAGGATGTTACACATGTATAAAGGGGACATTACAAGTGTGTAAAACAATGTTATGTATGTGTAAACTGGTGAATGGATTTTGTCCACTGCATCTGAAATCTGCTACTGAGGTCCAATAACTTAAGGATTTAGTGCAAGCAAAAATACTATAAGGAAGCAGAAAGCAAGCTTCAGACAGCCCAGTCTCAATGGCCATGGAATAGAAAGAGCAAGAGGAGAGTATAATGCAGTAGAAACAGATATGGCCAGGAACAATGTCTTCCAAGTCTTGGTTTCATTGCTGTTATCCCATAATTGTACGTCGCACTATTTTTTTTTTAAACTGTTCACTCGTGTCTGATTCTCAGAGACTGCCTGGATTAGTCCCTGCAGTTTTCTTGGCAAGGTTTTTCAGAACTGGTTTGCCATTGTCTCCTTCCTAGGGCTGAGAGAAAGTGACTGGCCCAGACGGCTTTGTGCCTAGGCAGAACTCCCATCCTCCCAGTCTCTAGCCTGATGCCTTAAACCACTACACCAAAGTGGCTCTCTGCATGGCACTATACCATAGAAATGTTTTTTTTAAAAAATGATATTAATTTGCTTCATGGAATAAATAACACAGAGTGTGCTATTGTAAAAACAAATCTTCCTTATTCTGTACCTCTGAATGTTTATTTAAAAAGAAAGGGGAACATAATGCGGCCTGCTGTTTGGAATTCAACCAACCAAACAGTAGATCCAACCCATAACTAAGGATAGCTTCTTAACAAGTATGAAAATAAGCCACACAGCAGACTTTAAGACAATTTAGTTTACTGTCTGGAAATGCAATAAAGTGGGGTTCTGACAGTTCTCCAAACCTATGGAGACTCTCAACATAAGAGTTGATCTTGTTGGCCAATGAATATTTCTCCTCACATGGAGAAATTCTAGGTGCATACATTGCTATATGCATGTAGCCTCTTCTCACATACACTTTGTGGATGAACAGCAGAGGCATGTCTGCTCAGCCACTAGCAATGATGGCCCTATGGACCTATATATCCAACTCAGTCTTAAAATGTACAACATGTTATCTAAATCTCCAGTGCCTGTTACAGATGTTACTGAAACCCATATTAGGCTGTAAGGAACACTCCTACATATGGACCCCTTACCTGAAATCATACCCTTTTATTTATTCTTCTCCTTTCTCTTTTTTAAAATTGATTTATGTTTGCCTAAGCTAAAAAGGGAAGTGCAATTCCATCTGTTACTTCAGAGAAACTTCCTGTCTATAACCATCATAACTTCCATTGTTCATCAAGAAAATGCTCATGGAAAACAAAAACTTATTTTCCACTGTAGGGCGTCATGGCAAGGTGGTCAAAGGGTCCAGAAGATTATTAGGGAAAAGAAGGTGCAATAGTTACATCATCGCTAGTTGAGAACTAGCCATTTGTCCTAGATTGCAACCCTACAAAGTAATCTGATATTTTATTTTATCCCCCCTCAGGTTATGCATTAATGCGTATATGCTTCAATTCTAGTTCCACAAAGCGTCTCAAATCTGTAGAGGATGAAATGGACAGTCCTGGTGAAGAGCCATTCTATACAAGCCAAGGACGGTCTCCGGGAAGTGGGAGTCAATCAAGTGGATGGCATGAAGTGGAGCCAGGTAAATAACGTCACTCATGTGGCTTGAGGGGGGTAGTTTTTCGCATTGCTAAACTTTATTTATTTATTCTAAGTTTGATGAGAACTAGCATTAATGCATGAATTGGTATTTGAAAGGCTACAGGAGTTGAATACTTCTGCACCTGTAAATCCTTTGTTAGTATCCATTTCTGTTCTTTAGGCAAGCATTTATAGTGTTGAATAATGGTTTCCATGGTTGTCAAGGTTTTCTTATCCCCAAATATTGCTCTGAACTAGATTGGTTTGTCCCCAAAAGGAGTGTGTGCTGCAACTGTATTTTATTGTAAAATGACAGATGTTTGATCCTTCTTAAAAAGAAAAGAAAAACCTTTCAAATTGTTCAGTTAA